TAATTTGCAATTGGAAGATTAGAAAAAAAATACTGAAACAGGCATAGTTAGTATCTGGTCGAAATGTCAGCACATATTGGTAAACTTTGTGTTCAAACTAACAAATTCAAGAAAGTCTATGTGCGGGTTGTATTTCTTATGCGTTCTCAGGCAGTAAATCGTCGAAATAAATGCTAGTGGGATGTATCATTTACTCTCTTTTTAAGATAATTCACCTCGCTTTTAAGCTAGAGATTTTGTTAAGAAAAATTTTGCTCATCAGGGTTCAAATTTTCATTGAGTAGGGCGGATTGTAAGAGACTTAAGCCACTTCAATTATCTTAGCAAAAGATCTCATAATCTTTGAAGGGCAAGCAGAGCAATGCTGTAATGAAACATTCGATTCAAAATCATTTGCTGCCTAACATATTCTAGATCATAGAGTTAGTGTGAAAAACAGATTACCATAACCATGGTGACTATAAACCTTTATATATACAGCCTATTTATGCGCTATATTATAGAATTTAAAGGGGAGCAGATGGTCTCTTGAAAATATTGTTGGATTAGACTCTATAATATGTATAGGATTGTCTATCCTGACTGCCGTGTACCCTAATCCATTTTGCCTGTGCTAGGCTTTATTAGCTTGTAAACAGAAGAATGGATTTTCCAGCCATGATTCGACGCACCTTTCCATAGCTAGATGATTAGTACGCCGCAAACAGGAAAAGTGGGAGCATGCTCTTTATACTGCATGATTTGCCTTTATTATCATAAATTCAAGATCTTTGTGTAATTGCGTTCTTTCTGACCACTGTACAACAACATTGCCTGGAACATAAGTTTCTACTATTTGGTAGATGTTTCGCAGACGAGTATTTAATATTCCAGTCTCCAGACTATCCGATCAAGCTTAGTTATTGTTTTTGTTTTGTTTTTTTTTTTTTTTAATTTCTCTGGACGCCGGTGTTTCGTGCCAACTCATCCCAGAGGCTGATGGATGGGCTATGCTTTCTCCACCAAGTA